TTTCGAGAGAGACTGTTATACTACCAAATCGAATTATTATTATTGTTATCATTGTTATTATTATTATTATTATTATTATTATTATCATAAACGAAACTCGAGCAATAAAGTTATCCGACTGTATCTCTGATTGGCATTTGCAGCTCTCAATTTAAACTCGAAAGATTCCCGGGCGAAAAAAAATGAAAACATATAATTCAATTAATGCGAATGAACATCGTAAATAACGGTTATATTGCCGAAAATATAAAAACCGAAATGAAATGAAATTGTAGCGCGTTTATATATGTATATATATATATATATATATATATATATATTCGTAGTATGGTGAAACGCGAGTAAAACCATTGTTTCCTTCCGCAGTTTGATTTATAATATTTACTCCCGATGATATAGTTTTTCATTATGTGTATGTATATCCTCTATAAATGTTTATATTTTATAGAATAATTTTTTAAACGTTCAAAATAAAATGTAAATAATATACTTTTTTCAAACCTCGCGAACATATTATTATTATCCTACGTCTGCGTTTGAGTATGTATTTGATTCACGCTAATACGCGATGGCAGTTGGTACCGTGATAGTCGGTGTAAATAGCGGCTAGGAAGGGGTACAATTGAATCACGTGTTTCACGAAAAACGGGTGGGTGGTTCGTGGGTACCTGGGTGTTCAGATATATGAAAAAGAATGTTTTTACAAAACACAATTCATTAAACACATTTTAGACTGCGGAAATTTTATAATTTTGATAAACTGTATTGGAATTTGTAAAATTAAATCGGCGATTCGAGGTAAAAATACTTCGAGCCGCCACTGGTTGGTGTCGTTACTATATCACGTGATAATAACTGTCACGCAGCGTTCATTATCCTATGATATACTGTTGTGCGGTGAATTTCGATAGTTACTACTATCAATTTCACGGTTCCAATAAAGTAGTTATCAACTACATGGTGCATGTAATATTTGCATTCGCGATGATTTGATAATAATTATTACCACCATGTTTGCACGACTATAGTTCGCAGATAGTAAATATTAAACATTACGATTAAACATTTCGCAATAATCAAGGTAGTAACTATAATATAGTATATAATATCGTCGTATGAACCCATTTCATACGTACTTCATTTTTTTTTTTATCAAAAAACAAAACACTTTCAAAGTCGTGTCAATTCATTTTGTTCGGTTTTTAACTAATTTTACGATTGGAAAATAAAAAAATATTTTATTTTATATACGTACACTATTTGTACATTTTTTCAACGAAATTTCGTTAAACTTGCTCCAATATTGTTCGTGATCTTTAAAGGCCCCATCATGTTTAAATTCCAATATTTCATATACCTACTTATTAAATAAATTCATAATATCGCAACAAAACTTACGTGGTTACAAAAATCTTAACGAATATATACACGCATCTTAACATTGGTTCATTAACTCTTATATTAAAACTTGTACATTTAATAAGTTGTCCCCATTGAACGCTAATTTACCATACCGTACGTTTGTAAGACGGAGTTAGTACATACGGGTATCGTATCCTCTTAAATACTATATGTGACGTCCATTTGTTTTCGAAATGAGTATTTGGTTAGAATATAGACTATATCATAAAAATAACAACAATACGGTGGTAGTCCGTCATTTTCAATTCTTGTGTTTATCGGTGTATCGACGTGCAGACCAACTAAACTATCATCATCGTTGTGATATATGATCTTGACTCAAAGCTGGCAGCTGTTTGGTTGTATTTTACCACATTGATTCCTACTCCGACCCCCTTTGACCTTTTTTTTTTTTGGCATCTATATTTAGCAGTTTAATTTATGTTCTCCGAAAGTCCTTTTCTTCTGTAGCGTACCCGTCAAAATATGTGTTTACGTATTGACCCACATCATGACGCCACCAATCCTACCTCCACCCCGATTTTCTATAGCACCTACCTCCCTTTTCAAGAAGGATGACTAATTGAGAATGTTTAGTGTTTGAAGAAAAAAATTCGAATTAAAGGAGAGTTGGAAATAATTGATTATTGTAGCAATATGAAAAAAAAAAGACCGGTGTTTTTTATCCAGCAACATAATTTAGTGGGTTGACTCTCTCCTGCCTTGTAAAGGTCCGATTTCGATCATTTTTTTTTTTTTATTTTTTTAAATAATGAAATTTCTTATAGGATTCTTTATCTTGAATTTTGGAAATTTATATTTCCGAACGCTTTAATTCAAGTTTGAATACGAATAATTTTCACCTATTTTGTTTAACTAGTTTTTATAGTTTTTGGTTACGTAATAAAAAATTAAAAAATTAATGATCCCTGTAGAAAGATGTCAGAGGACCAACGAAAAACAAATTATTCTGGTAGAAAATTTAACCCTGCAAACCATAGGCCCGTTAATAAAAAAAAAACTTAATAGAATGTTTTTTGTTAAGCATTGTTTAGCCATCGAGAAAGACTATGAAGAGAACGTGATACTCACATTTACTCTCCCATTTAATCTTACGGGTAACATATCAAAAAAAAAAATGTATATATATATATAAATAGATTGAATGGTACGCGCTTAGTTTCGAGTAAAAGCACCTATTAAAAAACTAAAAGAAAACGATATTCGGGGCTGCACTACCGCTGTGCATTTTTTCCAGCATTCTGTATATAACGCTCACTCAGTAACATCGTTAAAAAATAACGACCATTTCGATATTTTAAAACAACCGTAATTTTTAAGAAAGTGAATTTAAAAATAAAAACACAACGTGGTGCCCTCCCGAGTATCGTCCTATTTTGGTTTTATTATAGATATTTTTACTTTAAAACCAAAATTAAGCGAATTATACTCAGTTAATGAAACCATGTTTTTGCTATGCTGCTTGTTAGTTGAACTGAAATTATAGCACATGCGGGAACCACGTCCTCTTCTGAAGTTTTGTTATTAAAAATCGTCTTTTGGGATACAATTATATCCATGACTAAAACTGTCGCCCTAAGTGCTGAATGCTTTAAAAATCTATTTTTAATGTGATAAATGATTTTTTTTGAACAATTCAAAGCATACGAAGTTGAATAGAGACTCCGGCCAAAAAACTTTCGAATTTTTGAGTGTCCGACCCATCGGTTCATACAGCTTGGATTTATAAATTAGAGTACTGAAATACATTTTCGCTATGTTCAAATAATATAACCGAGGTTTTCTCGGGGGACCAAGCACTAAATAGTTTGTGGAGTGTTCCAAATTCTGAAGGGTTACTGCCGTTTTACACCGAAAGTTAAAATAATATATTATATCGTATACACCTCAAAGTGAATCTAAAATGTATAGAGACTTGATGTAATGTCGTTGAGGATTGAATAAAAATAATTAGAGCAGATATTTATATGGTTTCGCATATTTATATTGGTTGGTGTTAAACATGGCTAGTTTACACCAAAATGCATACCATTGTCTAACAATTGTATTTACAAAATTCTATTTTTAAATGATTCCGTAGAGTTTTTCAAGCATATTTTTAATGGTTTATTCATACATTTTTAACAAATATTTTTTTTTAGAATTTATTTTAAGGTCATATTTTAGTATATTTAGCATAACTAAAATATAATGACCTAATAATGATAATAATTGTTGTAAGAATTTTGGAAAATCTTACGCTTCCGTTTATTCTATAGATATTTTTAAATTAATTTCTGGACTAAGCTAGTATACAGTGAACGCGTTAAAAAAAAAAATGAAACCTGTATGTTAAAAATATTACCGTAATTCTGTTTACTGCCGTTTACTGAGTTCAGATTAGGTTTAACGGTGAGGTTTAGCATAAAATATTATTATTATACTCGTCGTGATAGAAAACTATATCGGTATATAGGTAGGTATACGTATAGGTAGGTACACGAAGAATTGATTTTTTCACAGTGAAAGTGTTATCGAAATCCCTTATAATAATATTTAAGGAAAGGGGCGAGGGAAAGAGGAAATGGTAGAGTTCGGATAGTCGGGGCGATCCATCATCTTATTTTCTACGCGGCTTGTATCGAATCAATTTCCGACAAAACATCGCGTGAGACTCGTCGAATCTCGTCCGCGCGCAAGTATATTATATTAAAGTAGGTAAGTAGGTATATGCGGATATCTGGTACACCTCTCCGGAACAGAATCTCGATCCGTGTGTTAAACCGTAATTATTGTGTGTGCCCGCACACATTAATCAGCGATTTTGTATATTGTGCAAGACAACCGTATATACGAGAAAAACCGCCGTATCGATTAGTTTGTCCAAATCGTTTACTCTCGACGTTTACCAAATTACTTAAAAAACTACTGCAGCAGTAAATAAATATATGTATATAATGATAACGAAAGCTTTAACTAATAATTTGACCTAAACAAATAAGGTGAGGTTACGGGGTTAAGCGATAATGCGAAACGAACTTCGTCGGAAAGGCTCCGACGAAAAAAAAATCATAGTTTGATCAAAACGTTAAAATGCATAGTATATTATTATCAATAATTGAAATCCTTAATGACACTTCAACTGGTGCAGTGATTAACCGCGAAAGGATAGTATAAAGACACTCAATATCTCAGAAAGTATTACATTTTTTCCGAATTTGTTTTTTTGAAACACAAACAGCTCTAGAACATTACATGACATTTTATTGTGGTAAGGGGGGAGTAGTGAAGCATCATTTTTGTGTCAGAGTACTTCGCAGAGGTCATTACAAAAATCTATACGAACTCGCGGGTAACAGCTAGTTATTTTATAATTTATACTAATTTGTAAATGATACAAATGTTTTGAGCAAGAAAATAAAAATGTATACAACAAGACATATTGTTTGACTATACGATTATATCATGTCTATTATAACTATGGTGAAAAATGGAAAAATAAACACTGACATTTATTTTATCGTCATGAGTGACTACTATAGTACTTTCCGCGAAAATTGAAAGTAAATCCGATTTTTCCATCGATTGCCGACAGCAGTATGGACAAAATTAGGCACGGCCATGATGGTGACGGAAGTATCCGAAAAAACGAGAACAAATGTCAGACTCTTGTGTGCAAAGGACTATCGGCGTGTGGCGTCGTCGGACCCCAGGGTCTGTGTGGATTACCGGACGCACGGCCCTTGGATCATCCCAAAGGACCGGACCATGACCCGGATTTTGGCCAGATGAACCGGGAATTCCGGGACAATATTAGAAGCAGACATTACGAAGAATGGGATTGAAAATCGAGAATCGAACGCACGTGGTCTTGCTTACTGCGCGATTTGTCTCTTGTACCTTTACTTACGCGCTGATTATAGGAATAATAAATTCGTTAGCTTGCTATTTTTGGTGTTGTCAGCTCAATTTGTCTATGTAACAAATCTCTAAATTTATTTCTAACTAAACATTACAACTGTCCGATAATATAATACGAGTTCCTACATGATAGTTTGTTTTAAAATAATATTAATATAATATTATATAAAAATAAAATTTTAAATTAGAATTTTGGGTCTAAAAATTCCAAAAATGCCCCCGAAACATTAAAATGCTTTAAAAAATGAAGACAATGATTTGAACATAACAAATTATTATAAAAATCAATTTAATTATTTTTTTCAAAAGTACACTTTATATACAATGAATTTGTAATAACATTGTTCGCACATGCTTTGGAAAACAATGCATAGTTCATTGAAATTCCACCCCTAAAATAATAATCCAGTTATACGAGTATGTCGTTGAACACAGTAATTTTAAGAGTTTCTGTAAAATCCATTGAATTCAGTGCAATATTAACAATTGAAATTATATTATAGTGGCCTGGCTGACGAATAGCTGTTACAGTACATACATTAGCATTCAGTGGCACCTCAATAAACGTGTTTATAAGAAAGTCTAAAAAGTATTTTCTTCAACATCTTGGAGCATTTTGTGTTGCTTATCTTGTTTATAATATGTTTATAAATTTTATTCATTTTTTTTTTTAATGATTGTGTTAAAAACTAAACCGATATTATTATATTATATATTTTGATAACCTACGTGCCATCCAAACGTCTCGTATTTACGGGATGAATTATATTAATAATATTATTGCTTTTTTTAAAATGTCGACGTTTTTGCATTTTGTGTTTATTAGTTAAAAAGCGTAATAAGAAGGGAAGTATGTTCGGGCAAATTAATTCAGTGGATAAAACATGTATAAAAAAAATATATATATGTTTATTTCAGTACTCGATATTTTATTTTCTGGACAACGAGCACGTCTGAAGGCCAATCAGGTTGACGACGGTTGCAGTTATGTATTTCAATGATAATAATAAGAATAACCGTCCTGTTATTCGAAAATGTGTATTTATATATACACAGGGTGATCAACATAACGTAAGATAATCATTATTCCGGAATATATTAACTTTTTTCGGAATCGATATTTTGTAGAATATTTTTAAGTAATAATCATCATCAACATTGACACGCTCTAAAATAGGGATTAAAAAAAAAAAGAACAACATTACATTTTAGAGTTTCTTATTTCTTAAATTTTTTAAAAAAACGAATTTCGAAAAAAGTGAATACCTTCTGAGATAACGATTGACATACCTTATGTTGATCACTCTGTATATTTATTCTCTCGGAACACGTATTCTTTTGGTTTAAAATACCGGAGATTTTACCCGTTGCACCAGAACACGACAATGACGAACATTTCTCGCGTCGTCTTTTCCAACGAACGTAGCCACCTACTCAACTAAATTACAAACCCGGTAATTGTAATGCCACGTCGTATAATATAACAACGTTACAGCATTGTGCACGTAATCGTGTTAATATTGTCTCGACGATATCACTATTGCCATTGGAAGACTGATTTTATCGACACTGCTATCATACTGACAATAATAAATTATTTATGTAGTGTTATTAATTATTATTAATATTATTTTAAACGCTATGGACGCATATACTTACACGTCCCACCTGTTTACAAATCAACAATAAAGCTGTTTTTGATAATTTTATAATAATACGAACATGTTATTGTGAACAATTGAACGAATCCAAAAATACAATAATAACAAGAATTTAAAAAAAAAAAAAAAGTGAAATGTCAAATAAGTCGTACGTGAAATAAAATTTTTGTATTTTTTGAGTTTCCCGACTACAATCATTATTTGATAAATATAATTTTTTTTCCTGATTACCTACTTAATCGTATTTACGTTTATAACTATTTGGAGTTATGTGTGTGTTATATAATATAATATTGTATTATTAATATTATCCTCCTTCTTTTTCGCCTTCACCCCAAATATTTGTGATTGACCATCCTCATTATAAATTTCCACTTGACCCACCTCGCATACGTTGGCTCTTCTCGTATCATTTTTGTTCGTATCTAATGGTGGTTTTTCGGTTTTCGTCTCTACCTCTTTCCTCGTATGCTTATTTGCATCCATATTCCTTCAGATTAATCTCTTCTTGTATCATGCCTCAACCATCTCAGTCTATTCTCTCTTATTTTGTGTACTATAGAATCCAGATTTAAGCTACTTATTATTTACTCATCCTGTATACTATCTCCTCTCGTCACTCCACTCATCCAACTTAGCATTCTCATCTCTACTACACTAATTCTCTGTTATATTTGTCGCTTAACGCTTCAAAACCATACCATAAATCGTATTCTAAAAACAAATTATTAGTAATATAATATTTAACAATTTTTAACCGCAAAAACTATTTCATAACCGAAAATCGGTTTCAAAAGTCGAAATGTTCATTATCATATTGTGTATGTATTATACATGACGGATAATTAAGCCTCGATAATGACTTGTGAATCAAAAAAACATCAGGTCCGTTGTCTGAAAATAGACTTCTCGGAAAAGTTTTCTGCGGGGATTGGAGTTTGAGATGAATTTTTGCCGGTCGGTCAGCGACTCGATATATTTTCAATTCTGAGCAAAGCGAGAAATGTATTGGTTTTACTATACGTTCTTTTTTTTGGCCAAATATTTTTTCTACTATATTGCTCCAGATGAACAATAGTTTTAATAAATTAACCTATGAGCAAAAGTGTCAACTAAATTGCCATCATCCGACAGCTAATCTTCGACTAAAATCTTCGCCCTGCGTGATCTTATTCACTGTTGTTAGTAATCGATGTCACAAATATTTCTCAAATAATAATATTATCATATTTTAATAATATTCCGTTATTTCACTGCGGCTAAAAAACTGGGCAAATCTAGTGTTATTATTATTATTATTATTAAAACCTCGATGACGATAATAATGAAAATATTATGATGCGTTTTTATTTTTTTATTTAAAAAAATAATAATAATATTACATCTATGTACATATATATATATATTATTATAGTTTTGACTTTTTTTTTTTTCTAAAAGCCTCCCGGTAAGAATAATAATAGTTGTTATTCAAAAATTAATCCAACGAAACGTTCGCGCACCCTCGCGTTTTTATCCATACAATTTTAATACAACGTTTATAATAATATAATATTATATTATACCGACATATAGGTGTTACTGAAATAATATTTAGTTTCGAGCCGTTTTTCGTGTGTACACGAGTAGAATCGACGGGGTTCATGCGTTTTGCGATTAGCGATTCGCTCCCGGTCTGACCTTAAAAAAATTAAAATTAAAAAAAAAACATTAATTTAATACGATATTAATTCCGGACCGTTTTATGCGTGTATTTATTTAAACGAGTTGATCCGATCGTGAGGTTTACGTATAGGTATAAAATACGAAACTCGTTAATGGCTATGTATATGTGTATAATAATTTGTCTGTATATAGAAGGATCTTTTTATCACGATCTGGATATTAGTACGTACCTGGAAATTTTTTTTTATGGGTAAAATTGATTAGTTTAGATCCCGAGCGTAGCGAGGGAGCTATTGGTTTTATTAAGATTTTTTTTCTTCTTTTTCTTTGTTCTAGCCTGTAGACACGTTTTTCCTAGTAAAATTGCTCCGATGTATAAGTGTAAAAAATAGCTCTTTTTCTAAAAGCACAAGTTGTCTTTATTGTACTATAAAAGATCATTTTTTGGTTGTCGATGTCATTTTATAAATAAAAGCACTTAAGTGGGAAAAAACGTAAGAAAACGTACAATTTCACGATTCCATTATTTTATAAAAACACGGACGACGTTTTCTACCAGAAAAAAGATTTTATCGACAAATCGCAAAATATCATTTATGTTGCTTTTTGATTTACTTTCTTAGTGTTTCTTCACCAGAACTTTTAATCCAAAAGTGAGCTTTTAAGGAATTCTGATTTTTGGGAGTTTTTTGCTGTATTCGATTAAAATTACACGTAAAGACTTGAAACTTGGTAATAATACTAATATTGGACTTAACTAGACGTGGTAAAATGTCCAAAATCTTCGAACAATTTTTTTTTTTTTTTTAATTTTTTTACAATGTTACTTTTTTTCATATACTATAAACCGCTTTTATCCTAGAAAACTTGCTCCGATGTTTAAGTGTAGCACCTTTTCTGAACTTCAATTTCATCTAATTGGTAAATACATAGGTAATTTTTTTGATTTTAGAGACGGTATTTAAAATAAGAACGACCAACCGGGAAAAAAATACGATTTTTTTCACGATTTCGTTATTTCAAATAAGTAAATACTACGTTTTAAAAGTACAAATATGGCTCCAATTGTAAAACGACAATAGACCTTTTTTGTTTAATTATTAATCTTGTTTTAAATGGTACATTTTTTTTTATTTTTTTTGAATTAGTTTTTGAAAAAATCGAAATAAACGTGGAAAAAACGTACAATTTCACATTATTTTACATTAATATGGAAAACGTTTATTTTTAGGAAAAGTACTTTAATCGAAAAATGTCAGGAAACTTTTTTTTTTCATTGTATTTTCTTATAATTGGTGTTTTGCGATCAAATTTAATCATAAATCCCAAAAAAATTACATCAAATTATGTATTATTGAACTACGCTCGGAATTGTTTTCGTCAGCAATGATTTATCGTTGCATACAAACATAAATGAAATAACCTTATGTATCTAACCTTCCCAACCTCTGACCTACAACAGTAGCCGCTTCCGTTCACAGTATCAGCTCTTTTAGAATATGTTAATTTTAAATTTTAAATGTCCTAAAAGATAATTACTGTCGCTGATGAAGGATACATTATTGTTGTGTGTTGGAAATTGGAAATGTAGGATACTT